TTTTCTCAACTCTTCATCTTCTTGAGTGTGTAACATCAATACAAATACCAAAAACATTCAAAATTTATTTTGTGCATTAAATTTAATGCACCAATACAATTTTGTTTCGATCATTCTTGTCTTTGTTGATTTTTCGCATATTTAGTGTAAAAAAAAATGAAAATTCTAAAAAAAACAAAAAAATCCGACAAAAAAAGAAGAAAATTCCAAGCCAAAAAAAGGTTTATTTGATTTCAAAAAACACTTTTTTGAAAATTATGGAAGCATAATTCCTTTCAAAAAAATCAATTCAATACCTAAATCATCCATTGGTATCAATTTTGTTGTGGAAAATGTATAAATCGATTTCAAGAAACAACTTCTTGAAATTCTTGGTTGTGTTTTCATTCAATTCTTTCGTTCATTCCTTTCTAGAGTAATTTTTCTTGAGTCATTATCCTTTTTAAATTCCTTGTTCTTGTGGATTTGAACCTCAAAAGAGGAAATTTTTTGATTGAGATCAATTAGTTCTTTAGAGACTTGAAAGAAAGCATTGAGAGAAAAATGCAAGAGCGATGAGATTTAAAAGGAAAATGCCAAATTTGAGTTAAACACGAATGCAAACACATGAGGCATACAGAGTTATTAGGATGTCTAATAAAGAATAATCAATATCTAGAGAGGGAAACAATCAAGTTTTCATGATATGAGCCATGCAACAACAATTCGAGCATATGAATATGGTATTTGGAGAAATTAGAGATATAATAGATCGATGGGATACATTGATAGCTAATTTACAAAGGGGGTAGCCTACAGGAGTTCCTAATGTTAGGAGGCAAGGTAGGCAAGAACCTAGAGATAAATCTGATGATGGGAATGAAGTGAATAGTGGTAATGAGGATGATGATGTAATTGACTTCAATTCCTTGCTAGGGTTTGATATTATCTCTCAAAAGTGGTGAATTGACCTCTTATTCTTGATAAATTTTACAAAATTATCGTGTATCTAGAGGCTAGAGAGAGTTCCTCAATATTTTGGCCAAGTTTTGTATTTATGGGAGTCAAAAATTCAAGCCAAATGTGTGTAAAAATTGAAGTAAAATAGAATTTGATTGAAATTAGGAATTGCAAAATTGGTCCGAGCATTAACCATTGCATGTACGCGGTTACTCACGCCGCCCCCGCACTGTTAATGGATTTGTCTCTCGATTGAAAAGTCAAAGAGCCGGTGCACTTTCACATATAATGATTATCGACAATTGCGGATTATGAATAGCATCACTCATTATTATTCTATGTCTAGTAAGAGTTTTCTTAAAATAGATAAATTTGCGGACTTTGTTTTATTTTAAAAGTTTAGGATTTTGTGTTTGAATTCAATAATTATTTAAATTCGATCATTATATTAATCAAACTTACTTTTAAGTTTTTTTATATTCAGCTTCAGTTATTATTTACAAAACATGTAAAAAAAAATTCAAAATAATTTAACCTACTTTTAAATTGAAATAAATAAGAACTCTACAGGGGGGTAATTTAGCTTTATTTCTTGGGTCATTAAATTGTACCCAGTGGTGAAGCTCTCCTATTTCACTGCATCCAAGAATTCATTTTTCTGTATTTTGTTAGGACAATCCAAATTAATAGTCTCTTCTTTAGTTAATTTGCTTAACAAAACATATCTCTATATTTGGATTCTAATTGTTATATAAATTTTAATATCTTGTGCACAAAGGAACAATTAATTTCAATTATTAAAAGAATAATAAATTATTGGGCAAAAATAAAAACTTAAAATATTATGTCATTTAATCACTTACCATTTTGTGTCAATCTAAAAATAATTAATTTTATGAGTTTTAATTTGTTTAACCTTCACTTTCTTACTCAACTTTGAATAATTAACTTATGACGAATTGAATATTTGCTTACTTAGCCCCCTTTTTATGGTCATTATAAAAAGAAATTTGGGAGAAATGATATTTTGAATAATGACTTTTTGGAGAATGCGTGGTTAAAAAGTAAGGATAATTTTTTGATTTACGTGCAGTATATTTTATTGTGTGAACTTTTTTTAAAAATAAATATGCGAAATAAAGAGTCTTTGTTTTAATGAAAGTCAAATAAGGCTTATTATAGGAATAGTGGTGTAACTTTGGAAGAAGGGAAGGATCCTCGTAAAAAGCTCGTCATATAAGTTGAGATCTGCCATCCAATTTGTTATCTATTCAATTATTTATTGACGCATCACTTTTAATTAACATGTCAATCTCAAATTTAGCCTCATTAACTTCACCACTAACCTATCAAATTATTAATTTAAAGTGCTGTGTCAATAATTAATTAAGTGGACAACAAATCTCAACTCTCTGTATTTAAGGTTCGAGAAAAATACATTTGTGGCGTGCAACGGGACACATAAAAAGGTATCCCAAGCTACTTTTACGTCGTTCTCATCCAGATCGTGTGCCATCATTCACATATATCTGATAGGGCCATTTCCAAAGATGAAACTTTAGTATAAATTCACATGTCACCAAAAGAGCAAAATTCATCAAACAAATACAGTATTATTAAGCATGGGAACCCGCAACCAAGAACCCTTTGAATATCCTTCCATCCAAGACCTAAAGGTCACACTCCAAGACTCGACCCTAATTTTTCCATCCCATGAAACTGAAAAAAAATCCATTTTTTTGTCCAACATAGATCAAATTCTCAATTTCAATGTCCAAACAGTTCATTTCTTCCCCGCTAACCCAGATTTCGCACCGGAAGCTGTGGTCCGTAGGCTCAAAACTGCACTTGCGAAACTGTTAGTGCCGTACGATTTCATGGCGGGAAGGTTGAAACTGAACCACCAGACGCGCCGGCTGGAGGTGGATTGCAATGCTGCCGGAGCAGGCTTCGTGGTGGCTTCCTCTCAGTTTTCACTCGATGAGATTGGGAACTTAGTTTATCCCAATCCAGCCTTTGGGGAGCTTATTGTTCAAAGCTTGGATAACTTGGAAGCAGATAATCAACCACTTTGCATTTTTCAGGTACTGATCCTACATTTTCATTGCCCTTTTAATTTCCCTACAGAGAATAGCATTTCAAATTTGAGAAAATTAAGGTTTGTCAAATATATAGCATATTTAAGTACATGTAATAATAATATATATTTTTTATTTAAAATTAATTAATCTTTGACATGCACCTCACTTACATGCGGAACTTTGAATTCAGTTATATCTTATGTTCTCAAAAAACATGTTGAACCATATTACATAAAAGTTTAATATCTTTTCCGATCTCTTAGCCTAGCCTACCAGATCAATGGACTTAGCCGATCCGAGCCATCAAAGCCCAAACTGTATAACCTGGATCCGTTTGTTAGGAAGACCACAAGTAGTTGTCACACAGCGTTGATCAGTCTCATTTCAATCATTAAATTGTTTTAGCTCATCAT